CAAGCCCCCCCCCCCAATCGGAGAGAGCTCGTCGGGCAGTTGAACTAAAAAAATATATAAAAATAGGCCAAAGCCAAGCCAACACATGTCTGTCACAATCAGAGAGGGTCATTTCTGGTCATCCAGATGTTCCTATTCTTCAAAAAAATCTCATTTGGGAGGGACAACACCCTCTCAAACCCTTCCACAGCTCAGGCATACAAGCCCAAGTCCCCCTGTTGGATAGCTCAGCTCAGTCCCCCCCCCCCGCCCCCCCCATCCCCAGAAAATATATCCTAGAGCCACCATTGTTAGTATTGTCTTCGCCAACACCACTGATATCATATTATTATTTTTATATTCTTGGTTGGCCCTTTTATAATTGCTGTGTAAAGGGCAATGTGCAATATGCGCTATATAAATATAACATTATTCTTATTATTATTATTATAATTAATATAGGGAAAACGCTTTGTGACATACTGGTCTGTGTAAACTCATGTATGATACAGCTAAACTTTCAAACAGTTTGAGAAATTCAGCAAAGGTGGAAAAAGCAGATGCATACATAAACTTTCTCAAAAATTATTATTATTTTATATTATTATTATTATTATTATTAATAATTATTTTTGAAATCTACTTTCATTAGATGTTCTTTTCTTCCAGCAAGACCAAAAGATTGCAGAGCTTCAAGACAGATTTACCAAAATGCATGATGAGAAAGCAGTAGCAGACATAAATAGCTTAGATGTAAGAATAACTCAACTTCACACTGATTTACGCAACATCAAGTTCCTAAAGGAAGGCAGTAGCTGGGATGACACATTTCAAAATATATCCCAGAGATTGGAGCAGCTTGAGAACCAAATCAGAGATTTGGACATACAAATTGAAGCTATCCAGAAAAATCTGGTGATTTCAAGCACCTGTACTGGTAATGTTTATAAGCAACCGTCAGGTCTTGAAGCCGACCTTTTCAAGCTACAAGAAGATATTGTTCTTCTGAAAACAGTCCTGGGAGTGTCATCAGATAGCAACCAAGGGGGCACACTGGCAACATTACAACAGAGGCTAGCAGATCTAGAGAACTCAATTATTGGAGAGGAAAAGAACACTCAGTTTGCCTTTGACGTTTCAGAAGCATCAGAAGATGTTACTTTACTGAGATCAAGTATTGAGAAGTTATCAACATCTGTCAGTGCTGTGGAAAAGTAAGAAGCCTATTTTATTCAATTCTGTATCTGTCATTTTCAGTGGCGTAGAAAAATATTTTTCATTGGGGGGAATGATTGGCGTGTTAGCCAGTGTCGTAACAGGCGTGGGGGGAGGTGGAAAACTGCCCCTCCTCTGACGGTTTTTATCGGGCTGACCAAGCCGTCGTACCGGGCTGGGTAATAAGAGAAAAGAAAGAGGGGAAAGGGAGGGAAAGAGAAAGAAGAGGAAAA